AACTCGATGGAGGTGTGGGGTGTCGTCTGTCTGGTTGGATCACACGCTCTGGCTGTGATCCCCATGGCGTACTTGTTCTCGTTTAAGTTCAAGAAGCACGCTGTTGCACAGACATCTCTACTGGTATTTGCACTTTGTACCGGTGGATTGTTGAGTATTTTCTCGTTCCTGTGTCGACTCATCGACTTCGACTTAACTCCGGGTAACTCTACGGACAACTTGACGCTGTCTTCACTAGACAGAAACTACTTGAGATGGATCTTCCTGCTCTTCCCAGGCTACAGTTTGAACAATGGCATCTACGAGATCGCTACACGGAAGTTGAGTCGAAGCGCACTGTATGGTAGCAACACAGACACGATCGCGCCGCCGTCTTTCTTCGGTGCCTGGGAGGGACTTGGCACGGACTACACGTGCACGTCGTGCTGGGATGCAGCCAGTGGAGAGACTTGCTGTGTGCGTAACGTCTTCGATCTCGATGTGGCAGGAGCTCCTGTTGCTTATGCGGTGGTTGAGATCGTGATCTTCATGCTGTTGGTGTTTATTATGGAGAACCGCAGCTTGTCGTGGCATCCGGAGAAGAGATCACAGGAGTTTGCGTCTAATGAGGACGACGATGTGGCTAAGGAGCGGCAGAAAGTGGAGCGTGCGTATCCAACTCAAGACGACAGCGTCTTCATCCGCAATTTACGCCAACAATACGGCAGAGGAGGAAAAGTGGCTCTGGACAACTTGTGTCTCTCGATTTCGAAGGGAGAATGCTTCGGTTATCTTGGCATTAATGGAGCTGGCAAGTCTACGACGATGAAGGTTTTGACAGGAGAGATCGCTCCTACCAACGGGTTCGTGACTCTCGGAGGCTACGATTTGTCTCGTGATCGCGATAAAGCGCGCCAAGTGGTTGGCTATTGCCCTCAGTTTGATTCTCTGCACGACTTATTGACTGTGGAAGAGCAGCTGGAGCTATATGCTCGACTCAAGGGCATTCCGAACGACCGAGTGACGAAGGCCGTGGACCAGAAGATTGAGGAAGTGGGGCTTACTGAGTACCGGACGAAGCTGACGCGAGGCTTGAGTGGAGGCAACAAACGTAAACTCTCGACTGCTATTGCGTTGATTGGCTCTCCTAGTATTATTTTTCTGGATGAGCCATCGACAGGTGTGGATCCGAGTTCTCGAAGGAAAATGTGGGACGTCATTGCTGGCGTCTGTGCCGCAAAAGAGTCGTGTGTGGTGCTCACGACGCACAGTATGGAGGAATGTGAAGCACTCTGCACACGTGTGGGGATCTTGGTCAGTGGAAAGTTGAAATGTCTGGGAAGCGTTGAGCACTTGAAGCAGAAATTCGGACGGGGATACATCGTTGAAGTGAAGCTGAGAGAGCCAAGCGCGTCCTCTGTTGGAAGACTGCAGCTTGAGGTGTATCGTATTCTAGGAGGCAACTGCTCTGGTGTGTTGCAGGACCAAGTCACCAGTTTGTGTTCATCTCTTGGAGCTCCGAACCGTGCACAAGAGATTCTGAATGGTGAGAGAAATGGTAGCGTACTTCACAGTTACCTCGAGACGTCGGGTGTCATCCCTATTGACGTCTTCTGCGCGTGGTGGCTCACTGAAAGCATGGGTTCTGCGCTACAAGACTTCTTCCAGTCCAAATTCCAAGACTGTCAGCTGATCGAGCACCAAGGCGGCCACTTCCGCTTCCAAGTCCCAAAGCATTCCTTGCGACCTTACGCAATCTTTGGTTTGCTCGAGGAGAACAAGGAGCAATTGCATGTGAGTGAATACGGCGTAAGTGAGACGTCCTTGGAACACATTTT